TAACATGGCAGCACGAATTTGGTTTTCCAGGTGGGACTACATATGCTCTATTGGATTAATGTCAGGTGAATTTGGAGGACAAGAAATGACTTGAAAGTCACTGGAATGTTCCACAAACCACTCCCTGATGATTGGACCTTTATGACATGGGATATTATTCTGCTGGTAAAAACCATCTTCCGCCAAAAATACTGTTGCCATGAATCGGTGAACCTGGTCTGCAATGATATTCACGTAGCGCACATATGTCAGAGATTGTTCTATGGGAATTATGGGTATTAATGTGCTCCATGAAAACATTGCCCACACCATAATAACCCACCCACACACTGGCTTGTCTCCATCCAACTGTGCATCCGGGAACCAGGGTTTCATTTGGAAATCACATATTGGCACATGCCCCTCAATGTGATGGACCAGAAAACGTGATTCATCAGACCATGCAGCTTTTTTCCATTCTTCTAACGTCCAATTCTGATGTTTCTTGACCCACTGCAGACGCAGCCAGCAACGACATGCCGTCAATGCAGGGACATGCTTCGGCCTCCGGTTGCATAAGCCCATACCCAGCAATGTACACCGCACAGTGAGTTGAGAAATACTGTCTGTGTTGCCACTGTTGTAGGTGGTGGTGATTTCAGCTGTTGGAACTCTTTGGTCATGGCTAACAATGCATAGCAATCTCTGCTCTCCTTTGGAATCAATGTCTGGACTCTAATTTAATTAAATTTGCACAGCATCATTTACATGAGAAGGCACAAATGTTTTTCAGCAGTATTAAATGACATCAGCCACTTTACACCTCCCATGTAATTTGAAATTAATCTTTGCTTTTAGCATTTGTCTTAGATTTAATTAAACAGTTATTCTTCCCACGAAGCTGTAATTGCCATTACTGTTGCCATCAAGTTAGATTCTGCACCAACATTTATGATTCACACTAAATGGTACCTTGTTAATAGAAAAAAAGACTTTGTATCCACTGATAAACTAAATTTTCATTATTTAACTAAATTAAGAACAACTTGTTCCTCCAAAATTCTACTAGAATGACTGTCGCAATTTTCACAGTTGTGGTAGGAAGAAAGTTTCAGAAAAATATTCACAGATTTTCATCTAAATTTTGAAAAAAACCATGCAAGTACAGTAAACAGTTCATCATGCACTGAGCTACTATTATGAAAAATATGTGGGGAGCAAAATGCACACACTACTTTAGATAAATTTATGCCTCCCTTTAAAAATAATATAAAATAAATCAAAACAAAAGGAAAAGTAAAATTTTACATATCCAACAAAAATATTTATAATTTTTTAGCTTTATTTTGCTTCCTCTTACTTCTTTAAGAAAATGCAGAAATATAATAGCACAGAAACAATTTTTTACAAATACCTGGCTGAGTTAAAGATTATGTATTTTTACATCCAGTTATCCCTTTCATTTAACATAACATTTTACCAGGACTAATTAATTATATTAACAAAGGGATTACTGTAGAAAAGTACTTCCTTATTATGATGATCCCATTTTGTAAATGGTGACAAGATTATTGATAAATCGCCAATGCAAACCATTTTCACATAGTCAACAGTCTCAACGAAGATTATTTATAGTTTACTCCGGATAAGAAGAGTTCCAAATAAACTACATGCTATTGTATTTTCTATTTTTCATACAAACATTAACAATTCATGATCAGTCATAATTCTATTGTCACACAAAGAACTCTGAGTATTTCATGTGTTAATGCATTTTCTTATTTTGAAAGAATGTTAAAAACGTTTGATTTACTAAGAAATGAAGATGATGCTATATCTTTCCTTTGCAAGTAGACTTATTTTATTTCACATTCAAACATGTAAAAATGACCATCAAATAAAACTACATATCAGTTTTGAGGTATAACATGAAAATTTGCAAGTGAATGAAAATGTTTTGACAACCGGTTCAGCGGTTTCAAAATATTGTTTATAACAGCATAGCAATTTATTTATTTTTGGGTAAATTAAATGATGTCAATTAACTAATGAAAGGAGTAATTCAGCCTTGAAAAAATTTTTTAATGTTTAAGAAAAACAACTATTGACTGGAGCAATTTTATGAGACAGATGTATTGATGTACTCTCTACATTAAATAACGAAATAGGTGGCCCTGAAAGTATTCTGGACATAAAACAAATCTGTTCATATGTAGGGAAAAAAAGAAAGGCTTTTCCAAAATAGTGGATATTTGTAGATTTAGCTGAGAAACTGACAAATTCCTTCTTATTCAGGTTTCAAACACAGAGGCAACTGCACTGATGGCAAAATTGTCAACCATGTACAACAGGGATTGATGATTTATTTAGATGACTGGCTAGCATATGAAACAGAGGAACTTGCAGGAGGGGGGGAGGTTAGAGGCATTTTACTATTAACTATAAATTTCACTTCACAGACCTAACAACAGCTGCTCATACATAAAATGTTGAAAGACTGTGGCACGCCACTTAGTAGAATAAAACTCAATGAGGCACAGTTCACTATCATCATGAGGTTGCCAATCCTTGCAGAGTTCACACAGCAAAATTCTCAAGGAGATTACAGTATTGATGCTTTTGATGCCATATTAAAAGGAACCTCAGAAACATGCAGCTACAAAGTATAAGTAAGAAGGGTACCTTTCCGTTTCGCCAGCGCAAATCTCGCCAAGCAGACTTTATTGGTGACAACACACAGTATACACGTAAAAAAATTCTTTCAGTTACTATCTACATTAATTTCAAATTAAATCTTAATTTAGAATGCAAGTTTCAATGCAAGACTTATTTCGGTTCGTACGAATAGCTTAATCAGAAACTATGTAAAACTGCAGTGCTTTACTTCGCTAGTGCATTCTCATTAGAATTGAGAAACTTAACCCTTGACTTTGCCTTTTCTATATTTTCGCCATCAAGTGAGCGGTGTGATTGCATCCTAATTGACTTAATTACCGCTTGCAAATGGCCTTAGAGCATAAAATTGAACTACCATGTAATTGTAAAAATTCCATGTAATTGTATGCCAGTATTGAAAGAAACAATCAATCTGATAAGAAATGTCTGCGGCTTGTTTTGAAAATGAGAAGTAAAAGGTTACCAGTGAGGATCTTCCGTTTGGCATCGGTTGTACCATTATTGGCAACTTTATCGTCTGCGGCGGCAAAACGGAAAAGTACCGTAAGAAGTAAACCTGAACTTGGCAATAAACTTAGTGTCAACTTGATATTTGAAATAATAAAGAAATATCTCTCAAAAATTATTTAAGAGTCACTAACATTAATTATCGCACATATCATACATGTAATGCAAAAATAAACCAAAACCTTAAGTGAATAAGCAAATAAATTAAAATTATTATAAATGGGCTAAGCCTATAATTAAACAGGGATGAACATTAGCTATTAATTAGATACTAACCAGACAAGAGGAAAAAATACAACATACATAAATATAGCAATAAAGCTTCAATAGGAAACTGATTGAAAAAAATACGAATTAAAAAAATAACAAGAAAAAAAGGAGTAGAAAATTAAGAAGTTATTCATTTATCAACAAGCACAAAAATATGCAAATTATCAGTTAAAACAAAAGCTGCAGATCAAATTCTAAAATAGGATTAAAAATGTTATATTTTTAAGACAGCAAAAATGTTGTAATATTTTACTGAAAAGCAGAAAGTAATAGAAACAAACTCATTTTCTATTCTTTTTAACAAAACTGAAACATAAGTGAATACTAAAAATTAAAAAACTTATTGCTTTTACATCTTGATGCACATAGCACAAAAATTTATCATTACTGTTACTATTATTAGTAAAAGTAATAATGACTAATAACAAAAGTAAATCTTGACTAACTGTTGGCCATTAAATGTAAAACACATTTCATTCATGTATATTTCTATATATATATACAACATAATATTTCTTTTCAGTATATATTTCAAGATGGAAGGAAAGTCAATAAACTTTTACAAAATTAGTATTATAATATATATATTTAAATCTGTATTCAATGCATACCAAGGAAATGAGAATAGAAATGTGTAATATTGCTGATTAGGTTATTTAATTACGGCAAAGCCTCGAGGGCTATCTGCCTAAGGGGAGGAATGCCTTCGTGGAGGACTTTCTAAGGTAAACTGTCTTGTATACATGTTACACATGGGGAAAACCACAAAAACACCCATGCAACCAGCCCGTTTGCGGGATTCAAATCTCGGACCGAACTACTAGTGTTCAGCGACTTAGTAGTTCGGTCCGAGATTTGATTTTGCTCGGCCGCTGGTGGGCCCCTGTAATATTGCTGGAGTTAATGAATTTAATTATGTAATTTTGTTAGCAAACAATTATGTGCACTAGATGATCCAGATTCCATTACAAAATACTGTAAAAAAGTCTGAATGAGACAATCACCACCCTTAAGCACTAACACACTAAATTAATAATCAGGCAGAAATAGATTTTCTGTATGGATCATTGATACATGTTGTAACATAGCATTTTTTCACACTGTCAATAATGAAAGACAAATAATTGTGAATAATCCCTAGGTACTTGTGCCTCTCTATAGTCTAAAAATAAAAAATTACAGAACTTGCAGTATTGGTTGGAAATATGGATGACAATCCACAATGAGAGTGACAACTTCATTTTTACCAAACGTTGACAGCAGGATAAAAAAATATGAAGTAATGCTTCAACCTGCATACATATTAAAACAGCTTAATGCTTGCTTTTCTTCTAAATTATGAATTATATTATTTTGCAGCAAATCAACATGATTTTGGCAAAGTTTATTCAGAGCCACGCATTGATGAAAGCAAAATATTATACTTACTGGAGAACAACATAACTCAATCATTTTGAGCTAATTATTTTATAAATCCATTGAAATACAATTTTGTTATATATTCACAGATTTTTAGATCATGTCAGTAAAAAATAATTAAAAAATCAATTATAATACCTAATGCCTACCTGCATTTTCTTTAGTTACAGGATGGCATTCATACAGTGTAGTGGCTATTCCATATGCTGAGTCACAAGGTGAACACCAATCTTTAATGCCGGCTATTTCTTTTTCTTGGCGGGCAACATTTTCTGGTTTTGACAGTTCAACATCAGGCCATGGCTGAATGTCTACCAAATATTTAAAGAAAAAAACTATGAAACATATAGTCAGTTAATATGAGGAGACAAAAACATAGTTATGCAGTTTGAATTTTTGGCACTTGCCTATCATAGAGGTCACTCAGAAAAGTCACCAAAATTGGCAAATTTAATTGTTAAATTTTACTGGCTTACAGCAGCCATCAATAAAATCAACACATGATAGTTGTTTTAATAAGAAAGTAAAAAATTTCTTTCAGTTTATGTAACAAAAGAAGTTTACATTTACTCCTTAGATATTGGCTGTTTGAATATCATGTAAATACTACAACATAATACTTGGCTCTCAATTAACTTAGTGACAAAATTTTCTCAAAACAATTCTACTCTCATTATAACAACAGAGAATAATATATCATATTCCCTCTTAAAATATTATCAATTAATTATTTAGCAGTGAAAATATGTATAATACAGAAACAACTTTTATTAATTATACTAAAGTGAAAATCTTTACGAAAATTACCAGTGAACACTTAAAGTATAATGTATAACACTTGTTATACATAAATAATATAAAAAGATTATAAATATATCTTTTTGTATAAATTGCATCAACTGGATATATTACCTAACAATAAGATACAACTCATTAATGAAGCACCTATATTGTTTTTGGTTCTTAAGCATTAGTGCTATCACCTTGGCAATTTTTAATAGAAGAAAAAGAATGGTGAATTATAATTACAAAAAACTATTTGTTAAATATGTGTATATAATAGGGTTAGATTAGTGCCCCTTGGATTATGCTAAGTTGTTTCATTTATCGCCAAGTTGTTGTTTCATTTATGGTAACCCGAGTAGTTGAATGTAAACCCCATTATAATGTAATTGGTTGCATGATTGCGGTGAATTTGAATGATGGGAGAAGATCTGGAAATTCTCATTTGTGTGTCAGATTTTGGATAAGAAGTGGTGGTTCACTTTACATCGATTACAATGATTTGAAAGATGCCACTGGGAAATGGTTAAGGGCTGTGTTAAAGCACTTACTTTTCCATTGGAATCTGATATTTAACAGTCTGCTGTGCTTGCATTTTAGATCTCACTAACCCTTTGATCCATTTAAAAAACTGAAAATTTTATAAATTTGCAGAGTTTGTGGGTTTTAAATTAATTATATGCGAGGAAAACTCCCATTATTGATTACTTTCTTTTATCTTACATAATGAAATTTAAATTAAAAATTTTGCTTATATATATGCATATACATATCTGTACATATGGGACAAAAAATCAAACATCAAAAATAAAACTAAAATCAAATATATGAACTGCTATCAGCAACTTAATTAGAGCAAAAGACTACGTAGAAAAATACTAAAAAACTTTCTTTTAAACTAAGTGTGCAACTCTGGCTTAATATATACTTTTCTATTAAGTTGATTGCAACATTGAAGTCAGAGTGAACTATTTAGAAACCAAGAAGGGTGCTGTAGAATGAAAACTTTTTGGATGCCTCCAATATGTAAAACTTACATGATTTATTTTTATTATTTGAGCCAAGGTTTCAGTGATACGTAGATACAAGGAGAAATGGTGTAACACCAGGGTGCCTGGGTTAAAGAACCCTACCCCTTGTAGAACAGTTAAATGATTACGAATTATGCCAAAAAATAACCTAAGCATAAATCGAACAAATGTGAGAAACAAATTCAGAAATCTCATAATTTCAGAAATGTATTGCATTTATCATTGTTCAGTTTATAATTGTAAATTATGCTAATATTCAATATCCATTTTTGGTTAGAGTGGATTGAAGGGTTCCCCTTGGATTATCGCCAAGTTGTTGTTTCATTTTTGGTAACCTGAGTAGTTGAATGCTATGGAAACCCTATTATGGCATAACTGGTTGTATGATTGCGATGAATTTGAATGATGGGATGGATTTTGGTATGTTGTTATTTTGTGGTTTACATGGTAAAATGGCTGAATGTGGTAAGATTAATTTGAAGTTTCTGTACGATTTGGAATGAAAGAGAAAAAAGGATTAATTGACTGGTGTGTAGATGAAGGTTTACTTATTAGCCATTTTAAGTGTCCTGTTTGTAGGAAGGAAATTGATACGGTTGAACGTCGGAGGATACCAGCACTATGAAGGATATTTTTTATTCTTATTTTTGTGAATTTATGTAGCAAATTTTTGGATGCTGTTAAGGAATTTTGTTTGACTGAAGACACAGAAATTTGTAAATAAGGTAAGTTGATATTTATTTTTTTTTTTGTGTAGTGTTAAGATGAATTTCTTTTTTTATGTTATTTCATTGTTTGATTTAAAATGTAGTTTATTGATATTATATATTTTTTGTTGGCTGCTCCTTTGATTTTTTAAGTGAATATAGATTGATGTGTACATCGAAAAAGGGAGTGCGCAATGCCTAGTTTGTGCAATTCTTTGTTTTTTTTTTTTTTTTTTTTTTTTAGTGAAAATAGGTAGATGTTTTTGCCAAGTTTGTGCAATTCTTTGACTTGTTATTTTGAATTTGTGTAGTAGCAATTTTTAATTTTTAGTGGAAAAATCGGTGCTACACAAAGTAACAAGTCAAAGAATTGTACAAACTCAGTGTCTATGTACCGCCACACATCGTCAATTATTGCCAAGAGGTTTACGATTTTATGTTTTAACTTGTAGTCAGTGCAGTGGCTAAGTACTTGGGAGTTGGCAAAAGTACAAATGGAGACTGGAAAAGAAGTGGATGGAAACTGAATCATGGTGTGTTAAGAGAATGTGTACAGAAACATTGAAAGAAAAGAAACATATGATGGAAAGTGAGTTTAATGAGGTAAATGAAGCACTTTACATTTGGTTTCGCCCAACAAGAGAGAAACTCATGCCGATTAGTGGGCCAATCTTGCAAGAGAAGGCCTTGAAATTTTATGAAGAATTAAAAAAAGACAATGATCCTAAATTTGTCGCAAGCGCTGGCTTGCTTGATCACTGGAAGAATGATATGGGGTGCAACAGCTTAGTATTTGTGGAGAAAAACTATCTAAGGACATTGAGGCCATGTCTCAGTTTAAGGAAAACTTTCAGAAATTTATCGAAGTTGAAGGTTTGATCTCAGACCAATTGTGCAGTTCTGATGAAAAAGGGTTAAATTATAAACTGTTACCAGCGAAAAGTCTTGCTTTCAAGGAAGAACAATCAGCCCCTGGTTTTAAAAGGTGCAAGGAGAGAGGAAACAATCCTAGCATGCAGTAATGCAACAGGTGACCACAAATTAAAACTCGGTATCATAAGAAAATCAAAGCAACCATGTGCTTGCTTAAGATCATTGAAATGGATAAACTTTCAATTCGGTATCGAAATCAGTCAAATGCCTGAATGAGCTGGGCAATTTTCAAAAAATGGTTCCATGAAGTATTTGTTTCATCGGTTGAGCAGTTTTTTAAATCTAAAAACTTGCCAAGGGAGGCTATTTTGATTTTGGACAACAAGTTTTTGTTACCAGACATTGAAGAGTTTAAAAATGGCGACATATGAGCAATGTTTTTACTACCCTATGTCACAGCGTTATGCCAGCCAATGGACCAAGGAGTTTTGGTTAGTCTCAAGAGAAGATATAGACACAAGCTGTTATCCTATCTTCTTTCTTCAAACAATGATGGTCAAGGTCTTATCTAGAACTTAAAGAAAACCTATCAGATGTAATTGGATGGGTGGCAGATGCCTGGAACAAGTTAGAGTCATTAACACTACTTTGTTCCTGGAGAAAATTCTTTGATAACAAAGGAAATGAGTTTGTTAAACATGATGATGCAGAAAACATAAACTTACTCAACCTCCTGAAAAGAGCTCCTGGATGTGCAGAAGGAATATGTGTCCAAATTTTTTATTTCAAGATATTGTTTCATAATGAAACACCAAAAAAATTTAGAAAGTAGTAGTATTCAGAATTCTCTAATTATTCAAAAATATTTTTTTAAAGGTATTCGAAGAATTATTTTTAGTAAACTTAAAATTAATTACCAACATTTTCTGAACCCCATATTTTAGATTATTTAATTCACTTATAATACCAATAAAAATGATTGATTGAAGATATTTACTATCACTTATAAATTTCTGATACACAGAATAAATATTTAAACTTCATGAATTGTGACATTAATGTAAAGGGTTAAAATGCACACTTACTAATAATATATTTAAAATAATAATAATAATTTAATAGCAAATTTTTAAAAAAATTAATTATAATAAGAATTGCTAAGTTAGAAAAAACATATAATATAATAATGTGGTATTTATGTATTAACGCAACTAACCTAGATGCAACTTAGCAATTTTTTACAGATGAAATGGTTAAAAGTTACTTATCAGATGCCAAATTAGTGGTTTTCCTGTCTTTTTTTTTTTTTTTTTTCCTAGAAAAATTTCCAAACTATTAATATTTATCACAAGTTCCTGGGGCTTGAGAGGCTACCAGGCATACTGGCAGGTGGTGGATAGCTGGGTGTCCTGTATTATCTGACATGATATCTTCAAATGATAAATAAGAAGCCACGAAGCCCCTCCCATAACCCTGGTGTTATGCAACCCATGCCTAGGGTGAATGACACAGCTGTTATAATGTCTTAGCAGTCTCTACAAGAAACTAATCGAAGGAGCAGAAATGACCTCTGCTGAAGTTACTCAATCAACATCTGAAGAATGGCAGGAAGCTATTAAAAGCATGAATACTTCACTAGATAAAATCAAATTAAAAAAGAGAATGTACAGAGAAAAAAAAAAAAAAAACGTGCCGAGAACTAAAAATTGCCAAAGGTACTTAGGTTGAAAAAAACCCAAGGGAAAAGGTGAAAAAAGGCAATCTCAAAGGATGGAGCAGAATACAGCCCCAAGACAGCCAAAAGAGACAGACCTGAAGGTTATACCTTCAGGGAGGCTTTTATACTGGTCAAAATGGGAATATCCTAAAAAACGTTTATCAGAGAAACAAGCTTCTGACCTTGAACTTTTGATAATGTTGACTACTTTAGGTATTCTCAGTACTATAGAGTTACATCTCAGCTCTGTTAAGGTGCTGTTAGACTTTATAAACAAAGTGGGCGACCCAAATAAATGGAGCTAACTCTCTGAGCGGCACGGGTGTTTGGATCTGTCATGAAGACCTGTATTCAAAGACACTTTGTTAGCTAAATTTGTATATTTACTTACTTTAGGCTCTATTTTCATAAACTTACATTTATTGAGATGATATTTATATTAATAAAGAAAGTAAGAAAGCAAAATATCATAAATTATAAGCTAATATAATGTAAATGACAAAAAATATCATGACCGGATAAAGGCGGCCATAACGCTCAGAGGGCTAGGAAGCATTAGGTTTGGTGCATTTGGCACAAACTGCTATTCAGCAGAAGTGCCTGGTACCTGACAAACTCAACCTCAAGAAGAAGATCATAAGCAGGTACACATTATCAACGTATGAAAAGAAAATATACTTTAGCAATTTAAAATACAAATTTCTATTACTAAATATGGATTACATAATACATTAAAAAATAAAACACTTACATCCTTCTTCAAATCTTTCTGTTTTTTTTTTTTTTTTTTTTTTTTTTTTTTGCATTATTCTTCTCATAAAAATCTGTTTTTCCTTACAAAAATATCAGAGAAATTCAGATATTCAGCTTCATGCAACCCTTGGCAACAGTGGGTACTAAGGAAATGCATTTCCTCATTGTTCCCTTCAGAAAATTTTCAGCAAAATTCTGTATTCTTAGATAAATTTTATGGTTGTTTCTTGCAAACTATCGCAAATTCCATAAGTTTATATTATAAAACTAAGTTTAAAACCAAAAATATCATGATTTGTTTATAAAAGCCACTAGAATATGGAATACAACAAAAGAGAACACACAGAAAAATAGCAGCGCTGCTTGACTGAAGTACTGTTATGAGTATCGTTTCCGGAAAATGTTACGCACATGGTTGCCAGTTTGGCAAATTCTGAAAGTTTACTAAGGTGGTTGTGTTAATAAGTAAGTACCAATAATACAGAAATAATGAATTTCATATACAAATAACACAAACAAAATATTACCATCCTTAAGAGTTTCTTCTTGTTTGTGAATATCTTTTAACTTCCCCAAGTTTTCACAGCTGTCCCTGTGATCTTCATCAATAAAATACACATCTGCATCAGGAAACTCGAAAGGCTTAGCACCAAAATCAACTGTAGTTAAACCACCCTGTGGTCCAGTATAAGCAGATAAAACAGATCTTGACAATGGAGCAATTTCTTGTACTGGCAAATCATAACATGATTTACCATATAAAACTTGAGGATGATATTTTTTTACTTCCCTGCAACAAAAAAATTTAAAATAAACACCTGTACTCAATATTTGTGAAATATAATCAAATAAAAAAAATATATGATTTTAATGATTAAATTTTTTTAAATGATAAAAATGAGGTAAAAATATATTTACAGGTGCCGCTTGGCGATAATTTGCGATTTTTGGCAGTACATGGACACTTAGTTTGTGCAATTCTTTTAACTTGTTACGCCAAAACTTGTCACTACACAAATGCAAAATAACAAGTCAAAGTATTGCACAAACTTTATTCTATGCATCACTGAAACCTTGGCTCAAATAATAAAAATAAATCATGTAAGTTTTACATATTGGAGGCATTCAAAAAGTTTTCATTCTACAGCACCCTTCTTGGTTTCTAAATAGTTCACTTTGACTTCAATGTACACTCTTTTGCAAAAAAATTAAAGCACAGGGAAGAACTTTTGCAATCGTGATGAAATTTGGTATGCAAAAACATCTTGATCGAAAATGCAAATGATCAAAGTTTCAAGGCAAATGAACAGGAATTGCGATTATAGCCCACATTTTTAGTGCACGATTCGCAAAGTATAAAACTAGTAACAGAGGAGGAAAGGTTATATTTTTTGTTGCTGCCACAGTAATTCCGTAAAGAAGGAACTAAACATGCCATTACGACGGTATAGAAGACCATTACTGACAACTAAACGCTTCGAACGTGGTCGCATTAGGGTTGCATTGAGCTGGGTGGTCATACCGAGCAATAGGCCGCCACCTGCTGCGTACAGACACTGCTGTACAAAGATGTTGGCAGCAATGGTTGCTACAAGGGAATTGCCGATGAAATGAAAGCTCTGGAAGGCTAAGGATCACAAATGTGAGGCAAGATAGGATGATTGTTCATCAGGCCCGAACTTCCCCAAGAGTATCACTGTTGACTATTCAATGCACTACAGCCACGTCCATACCTCCCATGGTACCATCCACCATCTCACGATACTTATCTCTGAGGTGGGGTTATGCTCACAGAGGCCTTTAAGACATTTGCCTTTGACCCCACAACATTGGCGGAATCATCTGGAACGGTATCGCAGCCGATCGTCTTGGCTGCCATCAGACTGGCATCGTGTTCAGCGATGAATCCCGCTTCACTCTTAAAGCAGATGACAACTGAGCTCGTGTCTGAAGAGGACGGATCCAGTGGTCCCAATCAGCCTTTGTAAAACAAAGGCATACAGTCATAACCCCTGGTGTGATGGTATGGGGTGCTATTTTTTATGACAGCAGGTCATGTTTAGTCATCCTCCGTACATCTTTAATAGCTCAATGATATATTGATACCATCCTGCGGCCAGTTGCATTACCCTTCATGGCACATCATCCTGGGGCCATTTTACAACAAAATAATGCCAGGCCACATACCACATGCTCGCATATCTCTAAACTGTCTCTGTACAGTTGATACTCTTCCTTGGTCAGCAAGGTCACCAGACCTTTCACCAATCGAGCATGTCTGGGACATAGTAGGCTGCCAGATTCGGGCACCACAAAATATCGCATATCTGGAGCGACAACTGATGAATGCCTGGCAGAATGTGTTGAGCATTAGGAACCTCTACCACTCCTTGCCTCGACGAATTCAAGCATGCGTTGCCACCAGGGGTGGTTCACAAACTACAATTGAACTCAATGATTGTGAGCCTTGGACAGTACAGGTACTGTGACCTTGATTTTTTAATTATCTGAGTATGAGCTATACACATATTCAATTTTATCAAAAACAACCACTTCCTTCATGGTACTTCAATTTTTTTTTTTTCTTTCAACAAAGCATATATAGCACAGCAAACTGTTAAATATCAAATTCCAACAGAAAAGTAAGTGCTTTAACACAGCCCTTAACCAGTTCTCAATGGCATCTTTCAAATAATTGTAATTGATGTAAAGTGAACCAATCTCAGTCTGGTAAATAAATAAATGAGAAAAAAGCTGAAATCTACATTGCTGAATAATTAATTGGAAAATCTAAGTACTGGAATTCTACCGTGCAAAAAGAATAGTTTTCTCCGAGTATGCCATGTTTTATCTGAGTTGAATCAATAGGTTAGCATAATAAACACTTGCTACCATGGTACTATGTGGGATGCAATCAATAAGCAATGATCATGCTTTATCAAAAACAAATATATGAAATAATTCTTGAGGAATTTCTTTATTTCTGGTATCCAAATTCTTAGTTCCTGGTTTATCATTTGAATGTGTTAAAATGTATGAAATACTAATCGTTTTCATACACTGCTGGCTAGTTTTAGGCATTATATACGATGCCAGATTTCAAACTTTGCCAATAATATATATATATATATATGTATAAACAAATTCCTTTAAATGGGAAAGTGCTAATAAATTAAAGATCTTGTGTCACATCTAAAGGCAACACTATGAGGCCTAGCTATTCACAAAGTCACATGGCAGATAATTAACAGAACTTATGTTATGTGCAATGGCAAATGCGGTCAGCACACACAGAAATGATGACTCAGAGTAGTATACAGAGTACGGTAGTATACAGAGGTGGTTTTTATTTCCGCACACAATTTTTATTTCACCATAAAGAGACTTTAACCTTTATAAAGTCTCCAGAATGCTAAATTAATACTCAGAATATAAGAAAACTATTCAAAGCATTACTCAAAACAAAATAATTATGCTACTGAAAATAAAAAAGTTACATATCATTTAAGGAAGGGGTTTGAACAACTTCCAATAATGTTACAACTTTAGTTTATTGTGGCTACTTTAGTTTTTGACAAATGATCTAGATCCACATGGTAAAATTTTAATATTTTTAATAATATGGCAAAGCATCTTTTTTCAGTAAAATGCTCTAATAATAGTACACATATACGAAGAGAAACATGCCAATATAAGACTTGAAATTAGGGAAAACAGCAACCTTGTTTTAGCATAGATTTTAAATAAAACTATCATTTTGAGAGCTATCTGACACAGATCCACATTTATTTAAAATTTATGCCACAATATAATTGTTGTTTTGCCTAATTTAAAACAGTACATATATATATATATCTCATTCAAATGAAAAAGATGGTAAGTAGTGTTGAAAACTGCAGCAATCAGAATGCAAGGTCAAATCAATTAGAACATTTTTGAAAAGTCTTGAAGATTCAAGTACTAGACTGAAAATACTGCTGCCAAAAATGTAACATTAATCATACTATCATTTAAAATGCAAGCTGTAGCTTAACCTTTAACTGCTGTGAGTGGTCTGAGAGACCGCTGAGGATTTTCTAACCGTCGTTTTCACCCCTAAAAATGGAGAATGGTCCCTGTCCTTCCTCCTACCTTCCCAAACCTGTCCCACAAGGTCACATATCCAGTTTCCCACTTCTAGCTTTATTATGGTTTCAGTTATCACGTCTTTTACTTTTTAAGATGTCTGGGAGGCCAATTTTAGTGAACGATAGATGTTATTTATTGGATGCTTGTTTTTTGTACAAAAGATAATTATGGCTTCAAATTTTACAAGAAAACGTACGGTATATCTCACTAAAAAAAAATTGAATATTTTGCCAATATTTCTGACGTAGAATATTCTGATTCTGAAGAATCTTGCGTAGTATTCACAGCGAAAGCAAAAGTTTCTGCAGATGAATAACCTTATTTTTTTTTACTATCTGTGAACAAAATGATAATTTTTATGGGAAAAAACACTTCAAAAAAGAACCAAGTCAAGACGGTACAAACACCAAAACATAATATAATAGTTCAGCTCCCTGGTCTGAAACATCCTGCAAAAATACGCTCTACAGCAGAGCCCGAAGATACTTGAAATTTATGTACATACATATTGTTCCAGTCATATCCTGATGCTACAAAAGTGAAAAGAAAAAAAAAATATCCTTTTATTAGCTAATCTATTCATTAAAACGCATCTGAAAGTTGGGATAACTTCCGCTTTTTTGCCAAGGGAACTGAAGAACAATTAGAAGAATCCTTGAACCGAAGGAAATTAAGAGAATGGATTTATCATATCAAGAAGAAAAATTAGAAGAAAGAAAACCATGTGCCCACCTTGTAAGGAGAGAAAAACTGCATACAAATGCTTGGAATGCAAGGAACCAGTGTGTCTTCCGTGCTCCCAAAAAATGTATTCTGACTGTATATCATCTTATGATTCATCCTTGTAAACAAAGATATTACATCCTTGTAAACAAAGATATTAATATTTTAATTCACTGTTAAAAAATTATGGTTTAATTGACAGTAATTCTTAATAAAGTCACATATTTTCATGCATATTTAATAAAAACTTTGTTCCTTAAAACAAAGCAAATAGTCAGATTTTTATATGAACGTAACTGTGTAAAATCAAATGATTTATGTTTAAAATATATTGCTTTAAATGAATTAGAATTCTATAAATATGCATAAAGTAGCTATAACTTTCCTTAAAAAGGCATTAAAGTATGTATTTTTACATATTTCTTTAAAGCGGTCTGTGAGATTGCTCACAGTAGTGACGCCGAAAAACTTTTACAGCAGTTAAAGGTTAATACAGTACAAAGTCTTTAATCCGGATGTCGATATTCCGGAATGATCTATAATCCGGACCTCAAAGCTGCAAACTTTATGCGCATGCGTAAATGTATTATGCAACACATTAAGCGTAAATGCTCTACGCACCACATTATGCATAAATTATGCAATGAATTATGTGTTTATGTGTGTGCATAATACGTTTACGCATGCATGTTTAGTGCGCGCGTCCACTAAGCATGCGCGTAAAGAAAAGAGATACTGTTTATAGAAGAAAGATGTTTTAAAGGAATATACATAAATTTATTACATATTAAGTGTTTTTATCGTTAAAATTAAGAACTTTTAATGAACTATACTGATTTCGATCAAACAGGTGCCTTCTCCTCTGACTGCCTCCATGCCAGTGTAGCACAAGACGAAGAACATCTTTCGTTCTTATTTTACATACTCATGAACTCGCAT